ACTTGTTTTTACGCATCTCGGTAAATTATTCCATGTTTTAGCACCATTATAGCTAATGCTTTTTTCATAAAATTTGTTTTAGGCTTTTGTAGAGTAAACTCATTTCCGTTGCTACGTAAATTATAATTAATGTTATTTTTAATTTCAAACAAGTTCATCAAATTCTCTGGTAATTCATTTCTCTTCGCTTTGTACATAAATACTAAACTATTTTTTTCCCAATGATCAACTAGGGGTTTCCAATCCAGTTCCCTCAAAATTTCGTTTGAAGGTGTCTCGTATGATCTGCCAGTTATGACCCTTGCTGCCCTGTTTTGCATTTTCTGCAACATACTGATCAGCTGATCACTACAGTTGCTCCATACAAGGCTGCAATGGTCAAAATATGGTAATACTAACGCATTGTACATCTTAATCAAAGTTGTTTTGGGGACACAGTTTTTTAGTCGCTGTAGCATACCTATACCTTTTGATACTTTGCGTGAAATAGCTTCAATTTGATTTTTCCAAAGTAGTTGCTCATCAATAATTATGCCCAATGATTTTGCGTGCTTAATCCGCTTAATTTTTGTATCCCCAAATTCTAAGATTGGGTCAGTTTCAACACTCGACAATCTCTGGTGTGAACCAATTAGCATATATTGTGTTATCTTTATTTATTGGCCAACAACCAGTTGTGCATAACTGGCTCTAGGTCAAAATTTAATCTACCGACTAAAATGGGCGTGGCCCTCAACAAATATAGGCGTGGCTTATCATAAACAGTTGCGTGTGAGATACAAGTACCTGGAAAATATAAACAGAACTTCGACGTTTCGAGCAAAGATCCTTGGCTATGAACTTCCCGACGAAGCGCCTTTGCTCAAAACGTCGAAGTTCTGTTTATATTTTTCAGGTTTCAAAACACGACCTGCGAGTTTATTAAACGGCTTCAAACACGACCACAAATTCAGTAGATATACTGCCTTATTGCTGCGGAGCGAGCGAGCGAAGCAGCAGCCTAATTTGTGCGGTAGGCAGTAAAAAAGTAGATTTTTAGCGTCGCATGGAATTGTGGTCGTGCGCATTTGTATGCACAGTTTTCATAAATCCGTGTCACCTCACTACACATGCGTAATTAAAACCCACTACGTAGCCACGTAGCCACCAATATTTCTAGCGGATCTTCAAAAGTGGACATATTTTGCATCAAGTGATGTTTCATGAATATGTGGAAGCATTGAAAGGCCTTCGCTTCGGCACTTCGTTCTTTTTGCATTGATTCGTGCGTTGTTCACTCAATGGACTTTGGCCACTGACAGTTCTATATTTTTATGGTGTAATGCATCTGTGTATATATATATGGAACGCCATGTGTCCAAAAATTATTTAACGTTAATTATATCATATCATGACTAAAGTAGTCTATATAATGTGGTAAATGCGCCTTAGCAGTAAACAGACTTGATATGAAATCTGATAGCAAAAACTTGTACATGTTTAATATCTGTCACCTGTGATTGCCCTTTAACCCCTGATTAGTTGCTGCGAGTAATAACTGTGCTTGATATATAATGTGCGCTATTTACTGTAGTTCTATTTGTTTTTAATGCCCGCAGCAATCCCTACCTTGCAGGTACCCTAGTTAGTATTCGTTATACTAGAAATAGTTTACACTAAAACTGCCCCCAGCTGATTACGGTGTACTGTTATTGAAAATGATCATGCCTTAAAAGGCCCAGACACACAGGACGCGATTCGATAGACTTGTTCTTCGTTCTATTAAAACAAAGACGAAGGACTTCGAGAAAGTCTAGCGATTCGACAACGCGGCGCAATTTTTCAATTTTCACTGACCGATAACTTTGATCCTGGTTTAAGTTTTTCAAATATTCAGAAGCCCTATAACATTTTGAGTCACTTGGTCTACATATCTTTTAAAATTTCCTTTCATTGGTTGTTTTATTAACTTTCAAAAACTGAAAACTCGCGCCGCGTTGTCGAAGCGCCTCCAGTGTGTTTCGACCTTTATGGTTTACAAACATTAATACGAGAAAATGTTATGTCATGACATAACCTTTCTTTCAAAACGCTTATAGAAGGATTGGACGAACTATAACCACATGTAACATGAGTAAAACTATAGTGCAGACGTTACGAGTAGAGACTCCCAATCTAATCTCCTCTCAACCGTGAAAGAGTGCGAGGAATGGACATGTGATAATAACATGAAGTTGAACGCTTCAAAGACGAAAGAGATGCGAGTGAACTTCTCGTCTCGATGATTGATGCATACGATCTACAAGTAGCTAGTATGAGGGTAGCATGTTGATTGTTGATTCTCAAAATAACGTTAGCTTGATTTATTGTCAAACTTCATTGTCAGTATCGAGCCGCGGTTGTATACAAGGCATATGGGGCAATTGATGAACGCATTGCCGAACGGGAGAGTAATATCAAATTTACGCCAACCATCCAACGCGAATTTCACTGTCGGCCGCGGGTGCGGCTGTTGCTTTCATTGTGTTGTGTTTTCTACTATTTTTTATAAAGAATAATTGTGGATGTTCTATTCGTATTTATGGACTTTATCTTAACGAAATTGAGAAAATAAACGTCCAGTAGCGTCTTGCCCAAATATTTGAGAGCATAATATATATCAAATTTATGTCCATCCGCACAACGCTCGAATTACTTTACAGTCGGTATTTAGGCGCGGTTGCCGCGATACTTAGGTATTTAGGCGCGGTTACCTTCATCAACATGGGATGTGCTTTTCCGGCGTTCTTTTTTATTGGTTGAAGTTACTTTTGATCGGTTGAAGTCTAGTTATTTTTCGTGTCCAGGGGCGTAGCTAAGGGAACATGCCGGGGGGGGGGGTGCGGGGGGTGCAGTTGTCGGCAAAATAAATTGGATCAAGCCAATAGGCAATACCTGATTGGAGAGAGATTGGAGAAAATTTGTAGAAAATGCGAGATCGAAAAGATGGATATGTCGACTGAAAGCTCGGCCCTTTTCCGAACATTCAGCTAAATTGGCCAAGAACTTATTACGCTAATACGCTATTTAATAGTATTATATTTTCTTGCAATTCTGTGAAGTATACCATAGCTAGGAAATTCGAAGCACATGTACGTGTTGACTGTTGATGCGTCTGCGCTTCATTTCATAATCTTGTAAAGCCAGTAAAGTCTTAGTAATTACACCTAACGGTCTTTTATACAATGAGAAATACGGAGATGATTTAAAAGTATGGACAGACAAGCAAAAACGCAAACGGAAGAGAGAGAAACTGACGTGTTTAGTTTGCACTCGGTCGTTTGATGACGAATGGATGTGCTTTTTCGATTTTTTTTCGGAACTATTTCGCCTATTTTAAAAGTAAATTAAAATAAATTATCTTACTACAAGTCGTTAATCATTGTATATCACTTAAAAATGAATACGGTCTGCTTTGACCACGCCCTAACCGCGCGCTAGCCACGCCCTTTTGTCGGCAAAATGTTGTCTTGCACCCCCCGAAAAGGATAGTCTTCGCTCCGCCCCTGCTTGTTAGCTTCTAGCAAGTCTTTTACGACAGCCTTTTTAACATTAGATGCCATTCTGGTAGTGTCATAGATAATGTCAGGTCTAGTCAGGGATGCCGGAAGTTGCTGAGGGCAAGGGGTGCAATTGGTTAACAAGAGGGCATACTCCTTAATAAAAGGCACCAATGAAAATGAAAGGGCGTCATGATCCTACATTCGGGTCAACCTCCCTCCCCGTCACCAAATGTTTTCGGACCGAATACAATTATTTAGGCACAATTCCTCCGTAATTTCTCGCCAAAAATTCCATAAGTAATGCTTTCCGTTTCACCTTTCGCCAAATGGATAACAATTTTGCCGAATTCCTGACGACTGGGGGGTGGAACACCCCCACACACATCCTCGAACGACGTTTAATTCTGTCTGTTGTAAAAGTTTTGTGCACCTGTTTAACACCCATAGTCTGCACCTGCACTGCACCCACAAAGTTGAAAAGCAAAAGGCAAGGGGTGCACTTGCACCCGCTGCACCGGTGGTTCCGGCATCGCTGGGTCTGGTTTGTCGAGCAATCCACAGAAGCTGGCCAACCTTTGAACGCAACTGTTGTCTTTCTTCTTCGGTAACTGCAAAGTGCTTCTGAAGAGACCTAGCTTTATCGATGTGAATTTGGTTAATGCTGGAGCCAAACATCTCTTGGCGTGCAAAAATTCCTTCATTGGTCTGTTCGAATTCCAAACCTAAATACTTGAAACAAGTCTGATTCTCTCTTCCCACTTTTAAACTTTGTCTTAAATATGTTCAGTGACAGTTTGTTAAAACTGTTCTGTGCCACCCCATATAAAGTCATCTACATGAGCAGCTATTACAATCCTATTAACGTGCCATTTTCATCATACCATGAAAATACTGTAGGGTCCACTTTGGACATTCTACCCCCAGTTTCAATCATAACATCTTTGACTTTGCAATACCATTGCAATGATGCATCATTTAGGCCATACACACACTTTTGGTGGCCTTATGAAAATGTCCCGATCAAGACAATTTCCTTGAAGAAAAGCAGTTTTAATGTCTATAGAATTAATTGTCCACCCCATTTGTGCAATGATGGCTATTACTATTCTTAAAGACTCATTTGCACATGTAGGAGAGTCGCTTTGGCTTGGGTTGTTTTCCTCAAATCCTCGAGCCACCAGTCGAGCTTTTGGTGTAATGCCTGTTTCAGTATGTTTTAGGGTTAAAACCCATCTGGTAGACACACATTTCTGTTTTTCATTTGGAACTTCTACATACACATCATTGTCTTTCCAGTCTTTAAGTTCAGCTTGTTTAGCACTGTCAAAGGACAGATTATGACAAAACATCACTTCATCTACGATATTTGCCTCCTCGGTTGAATTTTCTATGATCTCCAATTCCTCGACTTGACTAAGATCTATGGACTTTGCATCCATGCTTGTACCAAGATAGTCTATATTAAACCAATATTTGTGTTTTCCAGTCGCTTTTCCTGCACGACTTATTACTTTGGCAGTAGCCTTGTCTGATTGGTGTTCTTCTCTGAATGTTATATACTGTCCAGGTTTAATATTGTTTGCATTGACTGAATTAATGGCTTGTCCTACAACATTGTTTGGAGCACACATGTCCGTTTCATTACTTTGGACCTCTAATTCATCTGTAGT